AAGTTTGTCGGCGAGGATTGAATGACTTGGAGTAAGGCTTCCCCGAGTCTCAAACGGGCGTCGAGATCATAATCCTCATTGCCATCTGCATAACGTTCGATAAGATCTTTTAATACAGCCCTAGGGTGAATCTTGGAAAGGTCGATGAAGCACCTGATGGCACGAAGATAAACGTATTCTTCAGAATCTTGAAGTAGTGATGCGAAGAGAATGAGAAGCGCAGGTATGTCCAAGATTGAACTACGGGCGCTAATAAGACTCTGGATCAACTCAATTCCCTGGACTCTTACTGGAGGAGGAGATTCAACAGAGGTTAGATATGACATAGCAAGATTATAGGTCTTTCGGTCTTCTACTGCCCGACTAGGAATATTTTCGGATAGTGACTCGCTTGGCTCATTAAGTGCATGGCGAAACTGTAGAATGACGAGAAGATTTTGTGCGGTTTGGGTTACTTCTGTAACTGTCCGGCGCCCATAAATTCGGAGAGAAGATTCGATTCTTTCTAGGAAAGGCTCCATTATAGGGGTTGGCCTAAAGTTTGGCGATGTAAGAATAATGTTTAATAGACTTAAAGCAATAGAGACAATTCCCTCCTGATCTTCGGAATCTGAATCTTCGCCGCCAATTGCGTCGATCAGCACCCCATCAATCAATTCCACTATCTGCTTAGAATCTCGAACGAGCTTCTCTGGCATCACATTAATCATTTCTTGTAACAACTTTGCTTCTATGAGCTTTAGCTTCGCATCTTCTCCGCCACTGATCAATGGGGAATGAATTAAAATAGACGGAGTTGTGGAAGTCTTTGCTTGTGAGAGCCATTTCTGACACAGCATTAAGAACATTTGAGGCACCTGTGAGTCAGAGTCGGGAAACTCATTCAACAGGCCAACAAACTTTTCTACTGCTGTATTAATTTGGCCGATATCAAGTTGTTGATTCATCGTGTTAGTTTCTGAAATTTTCTCAATCTGAATGTCCTTACCGTCCTTTGATGAACGGTACATCCAACTCGTCTTACCAGGCTCTGATCTTCCTTGAAACAGGATATCATTGAAGATCCTGGAAAGTGCGCCTTCACTAGGTTTAGACGTCGTTGACGCTAAAAGCTGTAGCAGAATCTTCAACAGCTTTCCTGCACAAGCACTAGATTCCCTACCATTGTCTTTGTTTTCGACGCAAAATAAAGCCCACAGTGGCAAGAGAATCGGATTAAGAAGTCGTTTCGTCAGTGATGGGTGGGGATGTGATGTTACTATAGTAAGCAATCTTCGTAGACTTTTCCTGAGATCCTCCGCTGTGACAAGAACTTCTGGCATTCCAAGTACTACTATCTCTTCAACTTGTGATTTTTGTTGTGTGGGTGGAGGAATAAGGGCTGGGTCAATTGATCCAATAATTGGCTCGACCAGAGATTTCCATCCCGGTGCACCTGAACCATTTAGCATACGTTGAGACAAACAAGTCATTCACCTTACCTGGGGCCCCATAAAGCTTTCGACCTAATATACCAAATCCAATTATGTAGGAAGCAGCTTTATCCATTTCTCTCTCTCCTTTCCCATCGAGAAGATCAAACAATTGAGGAGCAATACCACTGAACCATTCCTCTGCCGACATTCCTTGTGGGGGTGAAGATAAGAGTCTTGATGCCGAGCTCATGGCTTCATGAGAAATATTCACGGAACGACTACCAACAGAATCCGATGCCTTCATACTAGCATTGCTCGGATGAATTGAGAAGACAAATTCAATGGTGTCTTGTACGCCGCGTGGTCTCAGGGGAAGACGGGCTAAAGTTTGAATTAAAGGCACTCGTAACCAAGTTTGTACTCGTTCTGGTTGAACAAGAAGATTTAAAACGGGCATAAGTTTCAAAGTAGAATTACTATTGAATAATTAGAACTTCCGTTGAGAAAGATTGAAGACCTTCTACCTTTCAATCAAGTTGTTAAATTCATGTTGCGACTGAATTCTTGTGGTTTCCGGAACCTCTGGATCAAAAGCTGCCTTTCCGATCTGTAGAAATTGATCAACCAAAGGCGGTTGTGCAGTCCTATTGTTATATTTCTCTGACATGATTATAGCACAATGGGCAGTTGATTACTCGCAATTAAATCTACCAGAATTCATTTGGTGGATGCCGTTGATGAAAAGAATAAACTCAGATCCAGTGATTTCGATTTTTGGCGATGCAGTTGTGGCTGATGTGACCTTATTGTGGCAAAAGTGGCGTAATCCTACATTGACCGTCCACGGGTTCACGTGATCTTATCCGCCGACAAAGATTGTGTGTCTTTTCAATGGATGTCTCGAGACAAGTTTTACAATCAAAATACTTTTCAAACACCGAGCGTACTTTTGGTTATCAAACGCCCTCTTTTGCATTGTTTAGTGGTGCTCAAAGTATCGTGAGTAGTGTGAGAGTTGTGAGTAGCATTCACAGAAGATGGGACATCTCTGTATTGATAACTGACATCCGAGGGCAATAAGGTAATAAAAAACGTCTGCAGACTTTCCAATCTGCCACTCATCAAATCTCTGTAAGTTACTGATTATTTACATCTCTTCCATCGTTCGATTCCATTAAAGCGTAGAGTTCTCCTTTGTTTACCATCTAATTGTTACATTGAAGTACACATATTTTGAGAAGCAAATCCTATGCCTACATGTGACTCGATGCTGAAAGTATTTCAATTTTCAACAGTAGCAACTAATTGTTAAATTGACTATCTTTTTTCATTCATTGATACGCTTTGATATAATGACAACCGCTAGCTGTGGCTACACCATTTCTCTAGGATGTCAACACATTATCTCGTGATGTTTTGAGCCGTCTTTCCAGCCCTTTTCAACGCATTTGTCGGATGACTGTCCATCATGCCATCTTTCTCGGTCTCTATTCTCCAGTGATCGCTGCCTGCTGGTGTTTCCTGACCAAGTCAACCTTAACATTCCCGTTATTCAGCATTTCATATTTCGCCAAATGCTCTGCGACCAAGGCCATATCTTTTGACAATGTCTCATGGGTGGTGGTGGGATCATCCTTAGTAAATGTTTGTTCTTCCTCCTCAATCTGAGACACAATGCTCTGAGTTTCCGAAAACGATTTGCTTTGTGGTGAATTATCTTCCACAACTATCGTCAGCTCCTCTATTCCAGCCAGCAATGGCTTCTCCTGCACATGTTCTATTTCGACACAATCATTCTTCTCATACCAGCCCTCAAAGAGTTGTTTGCTCAACAAATAATGGCCAATACAAAATATGTCGATGGCGACCTTCCTCACACTTTCAAGGCTAACCATACTGGATCTCATATCCTGCAAAGCTCTCATGGTTCCATAGTCCGTCTTAAAGTATATTTTGTCTTGATCTCTCAAGAACTTAATTCCTCTTTTGAAATTGGCACCCAACCTTTCCTCAACAACTTCCCTGTCCACGTATATTGGATCCTCCATCCCATCGTCTCCTATGTACTCTTCGATGAAGTTAAGATCCTTCGGGTGCGTGTCATGAAGACAGTAATCCCAGACGCTTTCCACGACGTCTCTGCTTTCACGGGATACCATTTCGATCGTACATTGACTTCGCGGATTAACTTCGGTCCATCTCAAAACAGAGGATCCTGTTGGCTCAGGGAAGATCGTTTTTTCGCAGTCTAAGTTCCAGTGCAGACTTTCTACGATTTCGGCACGAACTTCGATTACGCGAGGGGTTTGAGTTTCGAGGAAAGCGTGACGCCAGATTATGGTGCGAATATGGTCAGGAAGACGGGAAAATTTGAGGAAAGTGTTTTGACTTTCAGACAGAAGAGATCGTTCTGGAGTTCGTGTGGCATGTAAAGATGAAAAGGGTGGGATGAGTGAGAGAATAGAATGTTCATCTGACTCTGACAAAGTTTGGGTTAAGGATGCCATCTTTGTTGTATGGATAAACGTAATGGATTATGATGGGATTGTAATGATTTGTTGTTTAAGTGAATGTAATAAAACAACAAGACAGGTTGTCTTGCAAAGAAAAGAAACAATAAATTTGAGTTGTGTAGTTCCTGCCCTGACACACTCTAGAAAAGAAAGCGGCACACACAATTATTCAAATCGTATGGATAGATAATCGAAACCACCTCTTTGACATATAATTTGATTGACAATAATGGCTTGAATGTGATGAATAAAGCAAATTTCGACCTTTGACTCTTTATTTTCAAGGTAAGTAAACGAAGGAAAGTATAGAATGATCGAACAAGCCATGAACAACTAAAGGAAAGCAAAGATGTAAACTTCATTCATCACAATTTAAGTCTCTAGGGCTGTTGGATGACAGGGAGGTAAATGCCAGCACTGTAGTGGGATTCTGCTGGTCAAATTAGGCTATGCCACACGCTACAGGGTATTGAATCACCCTCTACCCCTCCAACCCCTCTAACCCCTCCAACCCCTCTAACCCCTCCAAAATCGAACAAGTTGAGCGTTTAACCTTCAAAGTTTTGTTTATACCTTGTAATACCAAGTTAGGATTATACCAACATCAGAGATGCCACTTAGATTCTTACCGAGGTCAAATACCATTGAAATACTGAGCCTCCAAAAGCGGATGTTCTAGGCGGTCCGATAATTTTGCCGGGCGGCTGCCCATCTGGATAGGATGCAAACCCCGGATCAGAACCACTTCACCAACAACATCCCGGATCAAATATTGAATGATTGTGGTACAAAATACGAAAAAATTGTTTCAAAAATCCTGTTATTGCGTAAGTAAAATAAGATAACCTTATCCGCTCGTAAAACCTTCATGTACAACATATATTCCTGCTAATCATTTGCCGCGATTCCTTCGGTCCTAATACAAGGCATATCCGCCCACCAGGCTCTGTGTGTTCCCATGCTAATAACCAAATTTCCCGAGACTCAAGTATTGCAAAACCTTTTTCATAACCAATTGATAATGCCGAAATCTTAGGTTCCAGTAAGGATGAATTTAGACATCCGCAGACTATCAGGTAGGTGAAGCCTTTATCAGTTCGTCCACTAGTTCATAGCACTCCTCTGGACTCTCGAACACTCTCCAGATATCCTTTGATACACCGTCAAACGCTTTCTCAAATCGTTCAGGCTCGTTTTTCTGGACAATACCGATGGAGGCTATGTCCGTGACCTTGCGTATGAGTACTAATTTGACCCAGCCTGGGTTTTTGCGACATCTTAGTGGTTCGTTAGCAAGGTGAATGTCTGATTTGCGAGGATATTAAATTTCATGATTGGAACGAGAAGTGACATCGAAAGTTAGTCAAACGAGAACTCACATCTCCCCATAAGCCTCTGGGTCACTCTGCGTGCTATCGCCCACAAAAATCATCTTCCTCTTCGGCAACCATTTATGAATCTTTTCCATCTCATTGATCTTGTACTCTTGTGTGCCCTCTGTCAATGTCTCTAACAATCCAGATAAACTCAAGAAGTTGGCATCCCTCAGTATCATAGTTCCTTGAGGATAATATGCCCGACGGAATTCGCTGAGAAATGAGTAGAGAGTGTAGGGCGAGGCAGATAGATAGAACCAAGGAGCTACAGATGCGTGTTTAGGTGTAATGATGGACTGTATGTGTTTGTATAGTTCAGGCATTCCTTCAACGGGCATCGGTTTGGATAAGAAGGTAGAGCGTAAAATGTCAATTGGAGAACTTGTTTGGGTTATTTTTATTGAGTCGTCAATATCTGTACAAAGTTATTATAGACCCTTTGGGATCCCCTCATCGTCCAGGATGTTGAGTTGATCTGGAGTTCTCAGACTCACCAGAGATGACTGCCCATCCTTCAGGTTCGGCATAGACTGTTTTCATTTGCAATATTCCTTCAACTTCTAGAGGGACTTTTGCATTCCATTTCACGATTTCGCCGTCTTTGCCATCCCGCAATGTCCGGATATCACTACTAATACCATTTCGACCACACGGTCCAAGTTTTAAATTTGCGACCCCTTGATGACCTGAAGACGCAATATTGACAACCCTTCCAGCTCGAACATCCATCAAGAATGGTCTCAATCTTTCTTCCACAATTTCATCTTCCCCTCTATCCCCGTCACCCCCAATTCTCCCCACGATATCCCCAATGATTTCTGGTACATGTCTTGCACTTTCTGTCTCCCATACTGCAGCTACAAATTCTGCTTCCCATTTCCCGGTTACGTGGTTTCTATATGCCGTATTATCCAATAACCAAACTGTATCGTCCTTGGTTACTGCTTTGGGAAATGGATTACGTGGCCCAAGATACGAGAGAAGGTTGTCGATGAGTGAGTTCGTAGATGCGCGAGGGAGATTTGGAAGGCTTGATTCGGTTTCGGGGAAGTGGTTGCTGTTGCGAGCTTGGACTTGGAGGGACGTTGTGCTTCGACGGGAGATCGTCATCATGGCGTTAGTGGGTTTAGCTCTAGTTTGATTCTCTTTGTTGTTATCAATGTGATGCTACGCGCTTGGTTGTTGATATCGCTGGAATTTTTAATGAGCAAAATATCCTCGAAATGACAAATAGCAGAAACGTTCGAATCCGCAAGGAAAATGCGAGAGAATATGAGAAAAATAGATCAAAAAATAAAGGAACCCATGAAAGCAGTATAGGGCTGGTATTTAACCCACAGCTCGACCTTATTGTGCCCTGTCATTCTTATTTACGCCTTGAGGCTGATGATCACCCGCTTACTACTTGACGAAATTGTCTTTAGTTTCTGGGGCATAACGTTAGAATTAGCGCTGCGCCCAGCACCCTGAATCGTGCAGCCATGAAACTATGAGGGAGGCTGATGTAATATGAGGTGTGATGAGGTCAGGGGACATTGATGAAATGTCAGGCACGCGATGAATTGATTCGACCATTTGGTGATGCGGATATAGCTTGGCTGATGGTGGCGTTCGGTATGACTGTACCAGTTCTTAGGTGACAGTGGTAGCAGGTAGGGCTATGAGTAAGGGGATTTCTTGTACTCTGGGCACTTCGTATTTCACCGAGTGTGTGGTTGATGATGGTTGATGATCGACGTTATTCACAATAGTTTGTGTTCAGCTTATTACTCTAAGCCCGGAAGTGGTGGGGCATTTTTGCGCAATGGTGCTGGTGATGAAGGGGTTGCCTGTAATTACCGAATTTATCAATGTCTAACGACAATATAAATCCATCTGCACCCTTTCTTCGAGACAGCATTGTATTTCAAGATGGGAATTTGATTGTTATATTAACCTTGAGATCGAAGCAAAATTTAGTTACATTTGTTATTGCTACTGGAGTTTTGCAGCGCAACCATCATCTAGAGGTGACCTGGTGTCGTTCATACTGAAGCACGGAATCATAGTCTTGCGGAGTACATTTGCCTAATATCAGTTACTGCTATACTGAGCACATGATATTGCATATCAAGATTCAAAGAATGAATCGCAATATTTTCGTCATCGCTACAAATATTGGCAGCTGTCCACGATGAAATGCAACCACTCACATTTTAATAAGTGATAATCCCGTGGTTTCGTGAATTTTTGTTGCACGTCTGGCACCAATCCTTGCAGCCTTTTGATCAGCTGGGCAGCTTGGACAATCAACCCCGGGGTCACTTCCAAGCTCAACGCACACTTGCCATATAATAATTAGTAAAAGGTACAGATGTTACAAAATTCATGTAGGTAAAATTTAATGTTTAAATCTTATTGATCGACTACCCAAAATAAATCACATTCCAAACGAAAGGCATATTAATATGTTGAATTAAGACTTGACGACAAATTGCTCATATTTCCTTCAATTTACCAAAAGACGCCATGCCATGTAAACACATTATCTAGAAATGCAAATCACTCAGAATTGCACCATAGAAAACCCATCCGGATTACTTCATGGAGCCACAAGCGCAGGCGGATAATCAGAAGGATCAGTCAAATATCCCTCGAGTGCTTGAATTCCCGGCGAAAAGAAATATTCACCGCCCCTTTGAACCACCCATCTATCAAGTTGAACACGTGCTTCTGTAGGATCTTTACCATCTGGAAGACCGATGGAGCGAGGTGGATGGTGATCGAGTCGCTGGCCTACAATAGCATCGATTCCCGGACCATGCTCACCAACGAATTTGTCCTTGCGGTCTGGGAAGTGGTGATTGCTTGCCCAGCGAGTAGTCAAGAAATTGAAACCATTTCGAATGTCGCTTTGGTAACACACGAAAAGAAGCCCACGTTCTTTCTCGTCATCGGATTTCTGTGCAGCTTTCTCTTCGGGTGTTACTTCGCCTCCATAAGAAATACCGCGGCGTATGATAACGGCGTGGTCGTGATCCAAGTCTCCACGAGGTCGCATTTTGCGGATGTGCGCTGCAAAAGGACATTTGGCGTGTTCTTGAACGGGATGGAAGTCAAAATTGTTAGATTTGAAAAGTTTTTCATCTTTGGCATCGTGAGGACTCTCATCCACGGGTGTTCCTAATGAATGAGTCAGCATTGAGTTACATTTTGGTATGTTAGGACTCAAAAACATACCATTTTTCCATCGACCCATCAGGTATGCAGCAAGCTTCTCCTTGGGATCTTCAGAGTTTGCGGCATCCGGTGCATTGTGTTTGTTATCTTCTAACCATCTGATGATGTATGAGATTAGTTCACGAGAACATAAAACGAAGCACAGTAACCCACTTATCAAATTCAGGGACAAGCTGTTGGAGATCCCGAAAAACGAGGAAGCTCCCATCTTCCGCCCAATCTGGCTGCTTCATATCATCACCCTCGTGCCTTGCAAAAATCAATCTAAGAAACGAAACAATCTTGAGTCAGTTGAGATGATCGAGATCAATTAATTACAAGAGAATCTTACCCTGATTTTACGGACTTGGGCTCTTTGTCCTTGGGTGTCACCTCATCTAAGCCTTCTATCAAGGGTTGACTGATTCCATCCTCGAAACCGAAACTAATGATTAGATACGTTAGAAATTCCAAGCGTCTGTTGTAGGTGTACAGAATACTCACTGCTCTTTGCCTTTTTCTGGGCGGGTTCGTCCTTGCCTGGTAAAGCTGAACTCGAGTGCTGGGTCTTGACTAATCAAGTATGTATCGCCATCACCGCTTCCATGTTCCTTGAGGAAATGCTCTTTGATCCTGTTTACCTGGGAAGTCAAAGTATCCTCCTCACTGGCTGTGACTAGAAAAACTCCATCAATCAAGCGATTTGGAGATGGCTTGTACTGCTGTCGAATCTCTTGTGGATCATCCCAGCCCTCGTTTACAAGGTCATCGTACATGCCTTTTCCAAACAAGCCACCTCTGAGTTGGTTCTTTTTAAAGATCTTGGACAATTCTCTATCCTTCTTCACAGCACCCTCATTAAATGTGAATTTCCCAAGCTAGAGATTCGTTAGACACCATTTCACGTTCTTGAGGGCATGCTTGAGACTCACAGCGGCTAAACCTGTTGAGGCAAAAGCAATATTAACACCGGGTAGTGGCTGAATCTTGGCTGGTCGACCTGACTGTTGTGCTTGAAACTTTGCTGCAAGAATTTTGTTCTTCATATCACATGCATCCTTGGCGCTCGTAATTCCGCCATCTTTGACGAAAGTTCTAAGCCGCTTTTTGAAGTCATCTGCTTTCTTGATCTTGAAGAACATGAATGTTTGAAATCTTTTTGGCAAGCCGGGCCTAAACGAAAATGGAGGTGGTAAGTAAATATCTTGAAAGCATGTGGATACAAAAGCTTACCAGATATCACCCTGGATATTAGACTTCCTAGCTATCCAACTCATGGTTGATAGTAGCAAAAAAGCTCAAGTTGGAGCTTCTGGATTAAAAATGCTTCAAATATTACAGATGTAAAGGAAGTATGGCATGCTGCGATGGATGAAGCTCTTGTTCGAGGATATCAACAAAGTTAAATAGAAAAATAGAGCACAAGATGTACTATTCTTAGATCCACATTCGTTTGGGATATAACCACTGCCCATGAGCTCAGTGATGGATGATTGTGGTGTGTGGATCACTTTGGAAGAGCTGCTTGATGATCTTGTAGCAATTTTCTTCAACAGAATTTTATGATTGGCATAGGTCGATTCATCCAACGTTACATCAGATAGACAACTACAAAATGATACGCGTGAGATCACTATAAACCGGACTACTCATGAAGATCCAATCTCGAACCAAGCTATTCATCCTTTTTTGAAGCTGAAATATGGATATTTGTGATGGGCGAGGTATAATGTGATAGTTCTCCCGGGACGATAGTCGATCTTTGGAGTGCATATTCTTATAATTCCATAAATCTTCACCAAACATCATCGGATTACTCGATACGGACAAAAAAGTTCCGTCGGTATCGAGCATCACAGCGTCAAATGTCGGTGCGTTGGTGACAATGACAAGCGCGCCATCCCCACGAAAAATATGATTCTTGTGTCCTTACGTGATACTGCGGCTGAAAGATCAGCAATTTCCATTTCCAATCTTGAAGTGGGGTAGCAATAATGGCCAAAAGAATGTCAACCCGTATTGATACAGCGTATCTGTCTTTGATCCCCTCAACCCGTGTGAAGTCTGCCGAATAAACTTAATTGACTCAGCTGAAACCTAGCCCCTTCTGAGAAATGGTTCTCTCGTTCAAACGAAGGTAAGATAATTGAGAGTGTATCATTGGATGATTTGTCAATGTAAATAATTTTCCCCTCAATCTGTGCTTCTGTTCCTGATATTCCCTATTGAGTCAGGTGAATTTGTACGGCATGATAATATCGTGAGGTGTGAACAATGGCTCTAAGATTGAATCGAATGCATTGCAAATATGAAATTGGTAAATACTCGATTGCTAAAGAATTACTACAGCGTGAGAAATTAGCACGCATCTTTCGAGTACTCTTTGATAAAACTTCAGATGATGAATACCGGTAGTTACGGAACGGTCAACGTGAAGCTCCACCACACTAACTTCATTCATTTGAAAAGACGGCATACGATACAGCTGAGTTGTGGGGAACAGCCTAGCCGGAATCCAAATTTACCTTGCCGGACCCACAGATCTTCGACGTGATCTGTTCGTCCTTAAAAGATTCCCTGCTATGATCATCATAGAGCCGCTAAATTACAGAGAATCTGCCAATGAATATTTCGGCACAACTCATCTCTGAAGCAGAAGAAGAAAATCAACTAAGCCTAGTAATCTGCAAGCTGAAATTATCCTGGTATGAACCGATCAACTTCCCGGATAAGTCGGAGCGTTGTGTTTACCAACAGAGGTTGAATTGACTGTACATCTTGTCAACACAGGTCAGTAAAAGCTATTAAACTTTGTATTCGCATACGAGGGACCCACTTCGATGACATGTTGATTGCATCATTGCACTGGAAGTTTGAAGCTCAGTTAGACCATTGACCTCCTCTTCACCTACGTAGTGAAGATCACTCGGAACATTAATCGTGAGCCTTGAGAGTCCAAATTATAAACGAGAAGTCACAATGGAAGCTAAGCAAATCACTATCTGACTACTTATATACACATTCTCTACCTCATGTATGCTCAACAACTACGAACTGTTCGCAGTATTATACCCCTTTTCTTGACATTATTTCAGTACCGAAAATGAAGTTACAGTGGAGTGAACTGCTCCTTGGAGCTTCCTTGGGCGGAGTTCATGCTGTCAGAAACTTCATGACAGAGGCGATAAATTCAGAGCGTATCTCTGGCTATGGACCAGTCGACGAGCCCTCATGGGAACCGACATTCACGGATGAATCACGTCCCTATCAAGGGATCCGAATTTCTCGCGAAGGGTGGAAGTTGGAATGCAGCAGTTCTGATACAAAATATCCGTGTCAAAATGCGATTGATGGAAGTAACAAAACTTCCTGGCGTAGTGACTTGAGCTCCAACGGACACAGCATCATAATAGACTTGGAGAAGGACTACTCTGTCAGTGCGCTTGTCGTCCTTCCTCCTATTGATGCTGGAGATGACGGCCTCATTACTCAACATGAAATATACGTCAGTAACGACAAGGAAAACTGGGAAGAGCCCATTGCGTATGGAATGTGGCCAAACACAAACAGGCAGCGACTATCCGCATTCGAGCCTACATCCGCTCGATACGTGAAGCTCAATGTAAGCGCCGAGGCAGATGTCTCATCCTGGATTGGTATTTCCGAACTCAATATCTATGCGACACAATACCTCCTTCCTCGAGATCCCAAACTAGGTCTCTGGGGTCCGACCCTTGATTTTCCAGTCGTTCCAGTTGCCGGGGCTCAAGAGGCGTCTGGCAATATTGTTTTGTGGTCATCATGGGCTTCGGATACGTTTCATTCTACACCTGGTGGTCAGACGGCAATGACTCGTTGGAGCCCGTCAACAAATGTAGTCTCAAAGCGAATCGTTACCAATACTGCGCATGATATGTTCTGCCCCGGAATTTCAATCGATGGTACCGGCATGATGGTTGTCACTGGCGGCAATGATGCCTCGGAGACTAGTTTATATGATTCCTCCTCCGATCAATGGGTCAAGGCACCTCCAATGAGATTACGTCGTGGGTATCAAGCATCCACGACTCTCTCTGATGGACGTGTCTTTGTTATTGGTGGCTCTTGGGCTGGAGGCTCGAATATTGCAAAAAACGGAGAAGTTTACGACCCCATCGTTGGAAACTGGTCTATGCTTCCTAATGCCACTGTTAAAGAAATGTTGACTGATGATATGGAAGGTCCATGGAGAGCGGACAACCACGGCTGGCTCTTTGGATGGCAGAATGGAAGTGTTTTTCAAGCCGGTCCTAGCCGAGCTATGAATTGGTACTTTACAGACGGAAATGGCAGTGTTGAAGCAGCTGGGAATCGTTTAGATGATGAAGATTCAATGTCTGGTAATGCAGTAATGTTTGATGCAGTGGCAGGAAAGATTCTTACCATCGGGGGGTCTCCTGACTATGACAAATCTTGGGCCACCAGTAATGCTCATGTCATTAGTCTGAAAGGACCAGGAGAATATCCAGATGTTAAACCGGCTGGAACTAATGGTATGATGCATTCAGAGCGAGTTTTCCACACATCCGTCGTTCTTCCCGATGGAACAGTTTTCATTGCTGGTGGTCAGACATTTGGCGTTGCTTTCAATGAAGAAAACGTACAGTTTGTACCTGAGCTGTATGACCCGGTAACCAACACTTTTACCGAACTATCGGGAAACAATGTCGTTCGTGTTTACCACACACTATCACTTTTGTTACCTGATGGAAGGGTTTTGAATGCAGGTGGTGGCCTGTGCGGTAACTGCTCTGCCAATCACTATGACGGCCAGATATTTACACCGCCTTATCTCTTGACAGACGATGGGAAACTGCGCTCTCGTCCAAAGATCACCACACGAGTCCCAGATCAAATGAACATAGGCGATACGCTGGAATTGACCACAAGTGTTGCGATCCGTTCGGCCTCCTTGATTCGCATCGGTAGTGCAACTCACACAGTCAACACTGACCAGCGCCGCGTACCACTGCCTTTGGAAAAGGCTTCTTTCCACGGAAACCAATATGTGGCAAAAGCTCCAGCCGATCCTGGTATTCTCATTCCCGGATTCTGGATGTTGTTCGTCATAGATGAGCATGGAACGCCTAGTATTGCGCAGACTATCTTTATTACCACAGAGAAAGCAACTAGTTCAAGAAAAGAAACGCAGAGCCAATGGGGATTTCTTGAATCCTACTGGCGAGGTTGGAAACCAGCACTGATCGCTCAATTTTCTCGTCCTGGTCGAGAATTGGTCTAAAATGCCATTGGGAATTTTAATGGTTATATCAAATTGAAAAATGAAAGCTGTAACAATGTAATACAATGGTTAGCATGAATAAAATTGTTACTTTACCGGTGTATATAGTCAATTTATTAATCGAGAGTTCTGAAGACAAAATGTAACCATTCACGTAGAGAGTGAATTAAAGATGTAACAAAGTCTTTTCAAGGGCGTGTGTTGACGTTTTTTTATTCAAATTTGGCATGAGTGGAAGGGTTTGGTATAGACTTGTGATGTTGTACCATACAAGTAAACAAACAAATGTATATTTGTACTATTGGAATTGAAGAAGTCTATTCACTTCAACGATCGATGTGGTTGGTTCCAATTTATCACCGGTGTGGTGAAAAAATGAAGGCGAATCTCCACAATTACCAACTGAATTACCGCGTCAAAGGCGCGTGCGGCTAATCTCATCGGGTAAGGTTAGGTGCAAATTACATTACCTCTGGCTTTGAGACCAGGATACCAAAACCAAACTTGAGAACCAGCCAAATCGCAAAATTCATGGGTCAAGATGATCTTACCATAAATGAGAGCTGAGAGAGGGGAAAAAAGATTACAATTATGTAGGAGTTACTAGTGGTCAAGACACATCATTAAAACTATCAATGTTTGCCACCAATGACGATCGCAATATATTTACTATTGGTGTAGCATATTCAACATTAGCAGATTTTCTATGGGAGATTTCCGTCGCTCGTTGGATCAAAGGAGTTATTTGATGGCGTCGGCTGGGTTCATTCTACGTGTAGAATAGTTGAATTCTTCTTACCAAGCTTCTCGAGGACTGTTGCCGCCGGAGAACCCAGCGTTCGCCATTCAAGGATCCGTACATGGCTCAAAGGCTTGCTGTACCCACCAACTGCAGACTCAAAAATTACAATGGTTAAGGGAAAATGATTTAGCAATGGTGGGGAGGACGACTTCAAGTACAGGCATATCCGTCGTTGATATGATTGCTGTGAGAAGTCATTTTCAGGATTTACATGTCTGCTTCAAAGATGAAGTAGCTCGGAAGTAGTGACGTGGTGTTGTTGTATGGGTAGCAAGGGCATCAGATGAAAATTCTCCAAGTCTTGCTACGACACGCTTACCCCGAGTACTACGGCTCTTTAGCGTTTTCCAGCGCAAGCTACTCAATTTGATGACATTCCCTCTCAAGCGGGGGATTGTATCAGTTTCAGACAAAGCCTTCAAACATCTAGTGACCGGAGTATCTTCCTTTCAGTATTTTCTAATTCCTTTTCATCAATATTTATGCCTTTTTCCCACGTGCCATTCTCGTTGCGTCTATTCATCGTTCACAACAAATGTAGTTCACACTCAATTCTGAGTCAGGCCTAGCAGGCATGATGACTGGAAGCAAGGTTCTTCATCGTGTCATTATCTGCCTTTCATGCTCAAGATGGAATTATCTTATCTTTTAAGTACAAAGATCGTTAACTTCAAAAACATAAATTAGCTATCGACCAACACTAACATTCAACTCACATTTACAAACTTCCTATCCACTCAAGAAAGTCTCGCCCAGAAACCATTTACTCGTCCTATCTCACTTACATCTCATCGCACTTCACAGAGTTATCTTCAACTTCATACATCACCTTAGCTTACAAAGCTCGCCTTAAGTGTTCCAAACGAGACCACGTGGGTACTTCTTCCTTCCTGAATTTTCGCCTCTGCCCATACTTGAGAATACCTATCAGTTCCATCGCTATGCAGCTGAACTATCACGCCACTCTTCGGGTTTTCGCAGCAGTCATTTTGGCTGTTCCAACCGCCTTGTCCCTTCCTGGCTTATCAGATAAACCTCACCAGCTAACATCCAAGTTTACTTGCGATCATCTCTCTGAAAATTCATGCCTCTACACCTTCTATGCGGATCATAAATCTGCTATTACCACAATGGCAGATAGCAATTGTACCGACTATGGTCAAGACCATGTTGTTTTCAACAGGACTAAAGTGATTTTCGGCTTGGATGGTGGACCAAAGCCTCTGAAAGATCGTGTCTGGGTGTTGTCAAATTTCACTCGGTTGAATGCACCCAAAGCAGTAGTTAGCTTTACATCACCGATATCACCAGAACTTCAGTGGTTGGGCGAAAGTTACAGTGTCTTAAAACTCTTGGACGCAAACTTCAAGCCTCCAACTGTTCCTTTGGGTATAGATCCGAGGACTCCAGATGTTTATGCGCTGGAGATCCCATGTTAAACACCAGAAGACTTGTTCATTTTTGGTGGTAAATACGTACCAAGTTGTATGAAGTTGAACCAGATTTGTATCCTCGTTCTCGTTTTCGCTTTAAAGTGCGGTAATTTAATTCGGGGGTAGAGGGAAGGGTGAATACAATTTGTATGTAAATAGAGGCCTGCCGTCGCCCTGCGGCACATTCGTAATAGGCAAAACGTGTTTTTTTACAAGACTTTCCTGTAAACTGCGTTGCATATTTCTGTGAATTCATATCAAAAGTTTGTGAATATGGTCTCATTCAGTCTATCACCGGGGCCAAGACAGCCATAATAAATGGAATCGAGTAGTTAATGATCTTTGTTACACGCACAAAATCGGCATGCGAACTGTAAAATGAAAATTCACATTACACATGGAAACCTTAGTCGATGTGTAACAATACGGAGCACCATAGTCATACAATATCTATAAGTAAACATTTAACTCACAGAAATCCTTCAGACCCCTTTAAGTACTCCGATTTTATGGTACCACCAACATTCACCACTCAGCTTGATATAAACATTCTAAATGACAGTTATGCTGCAGAATTCTCCGTACTCTGGGTTACCGATAGTAGGTCCGATACTCAGTATTGTTTCGCAGACTATCAATGACTCCTCTGCCTTTTATTAATGATTCATTGTCACTACTCCATACATCAATAATTTTGATTGAGTACCTATGCTTTGATTCCTTCATTCATGGAAGTTCATGCTATCTTTGTCTTTTCCGACGTAATTACCACAACCTCAATTTTCTCAAAGTCACTTCGGCATTCAACAACACGTTCTTGAGGATATTTCTCATCAGATCTCAGACCTCTGTCATAGTCAAAATTTGCTGCAACCCCGTCAACATGCATCTACATCTTTTTGTTCTTCTGTGGTCATTATTGTTTCAAGGAGCCATCTCTATTCCTATCATTGTCTCTTTGAAGTCCAGAGCAAACAAGTGCTACGAAGACTCTTCAAAGGTTCTCAAACCCGATATGACCTGCGATCAGCTGCCTGAAAATACCTGTTTCTACACCGTCACCACCTTCTTAAAGCCCGAGTCAGCAACCACCTCGATCACGGATTGGAATTGTATTTCATATGGCGAGGATCATTTTGTCTTCAACAGGAAAAAAGCTTTGTTTGGTATGGACGCTGGTCCCATAGAAGTCAAGGGTCGTATTTGGGTTGTCTCAAACCTCACTCGTTTGAATGCACCAGAGTCGAATATCGGTATTAGTAGTTGGTACACTGGGACTTGTAGCTTCCCGCAACTGAAGTGGCAGGGAAAGAAATATCTAGTGTACTTGTCAGAGAGTGTTGAAGATGCCTTGTTGAGTCTCATACCTCTCGCAGTCAAAAGCCATGTTTATCGGATCCAAATACCATGCTGATACCAAGCATGCCTCGACAGTGTAGGCAATAGTATACTACAGTGAAACTGTGGCGCGTATTAGCATATTGATATTGCAGCTAGTACGTATAGAAAGGAGGTTATACCACTCTCGTACATATTCATATACCTAAAGAATACTAGCAATATACTGAAATACTGGAATCTAATATAAAACATACATTCCCTATCCAAATTAGGCTAGAAATAAGGGATTCCCATTCAATTTGAAATAAGGAATGGAATTTTATTACCTAATATGAATAGGAATCCCTTATTTCTAGTCTAATTTGGATAGGGAATGTATATTTTATATTGGATTCCAGTATTTCAGTATATTGCTAATAATATTGAATAACTAAATGATATTGAATACTTTCAGTAGTATCGAATTCCATACCACATACGTACATATTTCGAAAAAAACTCTATACGCACCACTATCTAACCCGTATACGGATTACGGGAAATACTATTGCCTACACTGTGCAGCCTCGATATATTGGTATTAGCTGTTTTCACCTAGTCACCGAGGGGTTGCATTTAGGCATTATCTGGGCACTCATGTACAGTCTTTTACAGAAATTCATTCGTTGATATTTTATTCCTTCCAATGTAATCTGGAGCTTGCTTGTGCACGCGGTGATCTTTAATATATAAAAAAGGGTTTCAGCCGGCTTGAGTTCGTAATAGTTATCGAGAAAGTCTTGTAAGCTCCGACTATCAGATCTTAAATGCTTCCACATGTTTTTTCTCATATTTACTACGTACCTTATCATATCACAATTCAGCGATGACTCTTTCTCGATGAAATTATGATTCATTACCCTTCGAGTCATACTCGAATCCTTACTTTCTCGACAACACGCCACATTGAACGCTATGACTCCGTTAGCTGGAACAGTCATCCACATCGTTGTTCTCGAGCAACATATAACCTCTCTACTCCTGTTAGTATGCTATATGCAATCTGAACTACAATCACAACTAAAAATTAAACCGATTCTACTGCATCTCGCAATTCACCACCCCCAACTGCAACTGCAGCCACAAGCTAAAACAAAGAACCACTTCGCCTCTCCATAGTCCATCGTCAATACAAAATTAACGTCGAAGTCATAAATACGAGCTATCAGTATTGAAAAACGCCATCCGCAGGGCCAAGCCAAGGAATATATCACATCATGTAAGTTTAAAGGCACTTTGATCTTATCAGAGGCTTCATAGCTAATGTTTTGTGTGAAAAGATCAACATGAAACACATCATCTTTTCCCAAGTCTTTCTAGGTATAATTTCCCTTATCCTTGGATCTCCACTGTCTACGCCATGGGATCGCTCGCAATCAAAATGTGGCAATTCTGATCTCAACACCTGCACTGTCGAAGTTTACGTCCCCGTCAACAAACCCAACCAAAACAAATTTGATTTTATAGTCAAGCTTTTCGATTCAAATTGCGATACAATGTGCGGTGATAGGTTTGTCCATCGTAACACCAGGATCACATGGGTACCACCCTGTCTCAAAGGTGGAAACATGACAGTTCAAGTCCAGGGGGATGGAGAGCTGCAGCCAATTTATCATAACGGCTCTCCAATATATATCGGAATTGTGCCCGATGGAAACCCTACAATAGTAACACACCGCGATACATTCCAGTGTCCAAAATCTAAAGCTGCTCTTGCAGTAAGATCGGTTTCTGATTCTGGAGAAAATTTGTGAAGAGGCTGAACACCCCCCACCCCTCTACGACTCATGTTTTCAAGCGTGGAGACTTGCACATACTCCCGTAGTCGTAACCGGTCATACGGATGATTAGTGAACGGCAATTCGTAGCCAGCTAGAGATGACGGTTGAGAATAGATTTTGGCCTTCAAAGGAGGGGGTCGACTATTTACCCGACAGTGATTGACATCACTGGATTTCATATAATTAATGGTACTATGATTTTCACACGCTCTTATTCTTACTTACATGAGTGATATTGACGGAACGTTGTGAAAACTCATGAATTTAATCGACTGTATCAGAGTGTCCCAGTCATATCTTATTGCCTTGCTCTTTTTACTTCACTTCATGTTTTGAGTCATCGATGACTGATTTGTACTCTCCATTGTTGTCAATTATGTATATGAGTCTTCAAATATCTTCTGACTCGATAACAAAATCAATTATATGGATAGTAATACCCACGAAAGCACTTGCTCCCTCTCACATCACTGCAACACAGCTTCAATTACAACCACAAAGAACACAAGAAACTCCAAACAAGTACCCTTTATTCGCAATAGATTTCAATCAACTTCTCTAACTTGATCCTCCTGAAAGAACTCCTTTAAAACTCGCAAAGTACCCGAACAAACGGAACAACAAACCTACGCCGGTCAATTCAAATTCCAAGCGAGTTGACGTCCTCCCACAGACAGGTCATCGATATTTCCTGTGTACTTCCAATTCTAGACCTTCCATTTTCTTCACTCATTGTCCAAAGTATGTATCAAAATGAAGCTTTCTTTGTTTGTGATAACTAATTGCAGATATCTCTAGCCGATATCCTCCTATTCCAAACCGGCATCATCATCAATATGAACTTTCTTCCGCTCTTCGCAACCACGATTCTGGCCTCATGCGTTATTCTGGTTGTATCTGCAATTCCTCAGCATGCATTCTTCCCTCGAAGCTTTTCTCATGAGTTTTGCCCCACCAATCCAGATGATGCTTCAAAGTGCAACTTGCGCCTCACCGTAACGGTCTACGATACTAATAAAGGTATGGTGGATCTCAAAATCACGGGTCCTAAAGGTTGTCCTGATTGCGGCGTCTACACCAGTAGCAACGGTATTCCATGGGCAGCTATGGGTAACAAGCCTCGATGCTTTTACGACAAGGGAACTTGGGACCTTACCGTAGGTAGAGACAGTCAAGTCCCAGATGTTGTCACTTGGGGTGGTGTGAAATATCCTGTCAACAAGGTTGATAGAGGAAATATGAATAGCGGGGCAACTCGAATTACAACTTACAATATGCCGTTCAAGTGCACATTGTGATCGGAGAGAGATGGAAAGCTTAGAGACTGGATAATGCATTGAGACACAGATACCATGTCTCCCACTTTCTAAATAGATAATATTACGTTGATATTCAAACAATATCGAAGTTTCTTGTATGACTACCGTGAAAACAGTGTAGAAACCTTTGAAGAGGATGGATTTTAGATGATTAAGAAAGGGTGTTGTCAAAATTTTGGGTTGCTTGAGATAAGTGGTTTCTGGGAGTAGAACTAAATGCACTGAGTGATCAGGTCTTGAATAAAGAAATACCGACTGTGAAAATCCAACTCACACCATCCCAAAAGGAATGAACCTCGCTTTATAATGCAGACATATAAGTAGAAAAGACAATTAACCTTGGATACTGTCAAAATCTCAACTTTGAGATTGGTCCCCAGTTTGATATAAAAAAAGAACGTCACTGTGCACAGCAATAATGTCATTACTGGGACATTATTGAAACAGTGCCACAACAACAAGCCCAGAATAGTTGATCAGCAAGAACTGTATTTTACTGACGGAAGAAACGAAGGATTTATCTTCTCTTTAATAGAATAATGATGTTGTTACTTAGGACAAAGGGTACGGTCACCATAGCTTGTCTTTCACAATTGTTCTTGCTTTGTTCGTAAATCATTTGTCTTTAAATACAGACTAAGAACATAGACATTGACTTTAGTATATATAGTATCTCCACATTCTCATGTCCAAAATTTTTTAAAGCACCATTCAAATAATCTACTTTATCTAACACACAACACAACACTTCAACATAGAGATTTATCATTCATAGCAAAAATCATGAACACTATGGACCCCAACTGTTGTGTCGTTACAGAAACTCTTTCCAGTATCTGTGGACATGTGACAACGGTAATTAAACATCACCAAAGTTGTGAACTCATTGAGTTTGATCCATATCGTGCAGGAGGATACGACCTTAAGTATCTATTAGATTGTCATCCTTGGACAAAAACTCGAATGGCTAGTGCTAGCATCATGGAATGCAAGTGCATTTCTTGTGACGCTATCGAGAAAGGAGCTTCATTTCAATCTTTTCGCCCACCTCCAAACACTTGGATTTCTGACGGTTTTTACAGACAGATCTCCTTCGCACTTTCTTCAAATATGATAGCAGATAGAAGAAAATCATGGGAATCCTATATTTCTGACCAAAATATCCTGTTTGAAAGACAGAAACGTTTTGACGATGACCTTGAAACTGTACAGCAAGATTTAAGAGCCTACAATGAACTCTCTGTGGATGCAGGAGATGAAGTATTTTTTCATTTATATTCAAACATAGAAAAAGCAGAGATAATCAGGAACTTCTATGATCATCACCAAAATGAATATTTATTACAATTCAGAGGGCTTAAAAACATGTCGATGAGATTTCTTTTTGATCCTGTGAATCCAACACATCTCACTTTTGGTCTTCTCCGTCTTGTCAAACCCGAAGAAATCCCAGCCAGAGAGGTCTGCGGGATATGTAGAGAGGTTATGGATGGTGAGAACCATAAAGTTGTCATGCGACTGTCTTGCGATCGGCATCTATTTCATGAAAGCTGTATAATTCCATGGTTCGAGACGACTAATGACAACACGGTAACATGCCCCATGTGCCGAACTACTCGAGAGATGTACAAACTTCCGACTTTACCTGATCGCGAGTATTTTTAGATTTTGTTCTCGAACTCCCCTTTCATTCACATTTTCTTGTCTGGTAATCTTCCATTTTAATCCGTTTCTTTTCTCGGTAAGTATGAATCCATGGATCTCAATTTCATTTTTTTTTTCAACATTTTATTTCGTTCTCTATGTGACCTATATAATCCCATTTTCCTCGTGCTCGTATCCCTCGTGTCCTTTCTGTGTCTGAGCGAGAATGATTCCTCTGTTTTAGACTTGGCCCTACAGTTTTCGGAGATAGAACTTTACAATTCTCTCGTCAAATTTGCAATTGAGGTCAAGCATACCTCCTAAAGTCCTTCATCCACCAATTTAAGTAGTGAGTTCGACCATCTCTATCGTCACCCCTCAGGAATCCAGCTTTTCAAACCTTGTTGATAGGGCTGATTTCCTGGACTCATGCCAACCTCTGAGAGCAATGACAGTGCCATGCTTCAAACTCTGTTGTAATATTGTTCCACTAACATTTTAAAAATTGTGATTAAGGATAGTACTGGAAATTTGCGGTCACATTGTTGAAGTAATTAGGTATTGTAGTGTTACTTTGAAGTCTCCGAGGATTTGTCGGTAACACTTACCTCCAATCTAGGGGTATCAATAGCTCTACGATTTTGCCCTCTCGTGACGATGAAAATAATTCACCTGGTATAGAATCAGGCTGTTTCCAAGTTTGATTTAGAATTGAGCCAGTATTATTGTCAGTGAATTTCATTAGTGGCTTGATTTTAATCAACACTCGTGGACTCATCAAATCTACTCCGCTTTGTTTTTAGCGAGGATTTTGAGTCTAATTACCTACCTAGGCCTGGCTACGTTGAGGATATATAATTCTCACTCCTTGCAACAAATCTTGGTATAAGTGGAAAGCTATCTGTTCATATGTCAATCCATTCCCTTGTTAGCCTATACGGTACATAACTTGGACCTACAGTTGCCATGGCGAATTCTATCGAAAGATCGAAATCAAGACGGGATCATCAAGAAGCACCTATACATAGCGCCGGACCATTGGAAGAAGACGGCGGTTCTATCCATACAGATAAGTTCACATCAGAAGGTGGACTTATTCGATCCTGGCCAAGCGGTAGGGACCCATATTACCCAAACCCATCATCAGTATTCCACGGTTGTCTGCGTCATGAATATGTGATACAGATTTGGAACAAGCAAGCTGTGGATCTAAGTCGTGATGACACTTATGAGATAGCTGTACAGAAACACGTCTACAACAAGTGGTTCGAGGGTATAGAATTTATCAAAGATGGAAACGTCTACATAATTGGCGCGGGTAAGTGACTCATCAAAGAGGTAGCAGAAGAGTAACATCGGCTTATGTGCCGAGTACAGACATTCCACTTTCTAGCGATAAATATGGTCGTGGTACCACAGAATATACATATATTGTTAAAGTTGATGGGTATACATTCATTGTAGGGCAGCCTTTGAAATATTCAGAACGTCGCCTTCAAATGGGTAGTGCAAATCGGATGTCTCTCGGCATAAAATGTAATCGACAAAAATTAGAAATTCATCCCAGCGAAAACTTCTGGAACCTACCGAAATCGCACCGTCATCACATTCTCAGGTTTCCACAAGGTATGATTCAGCCCGTTTTTAGCTTGAAACTTTATTTAAACGTTATAGAAATTCTCGACATAATATTCAACTACTTGTTATGGATCCCAAAGGCATCTTTGGATCCAGATGTTATTATCACTAACGTGGGACGTTCAATTATGAATAACGAGAAACCCAGCTACGAGGCTACTCTTTTGGATGAGACTCATCCAATGTACGGCTGTGATGCAAAATATGAGCCCTGGAGAGGACCCACAATGATCAAAGAAAAGAAGATATGCCATGGAGGAAGGGAGATCATACAATTAAATAGGATTTTGCGCCGAGTGATTGATATTACTTGCCTCCAAACTTGCAAGAAATTCTTCAAATTCGGATCTGAAATTCTTTACCGGAAAAACATCTTCAAGTTTCCTATAGAGACTATCGGGCCCTACAGACATGAAACATGTTGGATCGAAGGAGAGTTTTACAAACCTGATCGTGAAAAGCCGGAACTTGGTCAACTGTATGATTGGCCACAAGCAATTCCCTATGTCATGGAGCAGATTCGGCAAGACGTTCCACTAAGAGAATTAGCTGGCTGGGCATATCACGATCTATTCCTCCGCTTTCTCTACGTCATTCGTCCAAGAAATGTAGACCTGATAAAGCATTTATACTTCTGGGGAACAGCACCACTGCACAGCTGCAATTCAAAGTTTCGCGATGGCAGATGTCCCAATTGCCCCGACAATTTATTTCCCGAGATGTGCATATATATCCAATTCATCAACGAACTGTGTCCAAGTGTGGAGAGTGTAACATTGGAAATTGATGCACCGGCGTGTTCCGATGCATACGACAGTGATTTCTCTCTATCAAAGGAGAGAGACTATGAGCATTCGATTACTCCATTCTTGATGAATCAGATTCGGGAGCTCAAATATGTTAAGTCGTTGACTCTTCGTTCTTGGGACACGGGTGGGTTAAAATATGCCTATGATAATCCTGATCGGGTTCGTGGCGCTCAAGATTTGGACTTTCCAATTGCAAAAGCAACAATTAAATGGTTCAAAGACAGGGCGATAGGCTGGGCGAAGGAAGAGCAGTAGAACACATTGAGACAAATAACTGTTAATCGATGATTTACACATCTATATCTCCATCCTCGCATTTCAAATCGATCAGTCCGTGAACTAGAGCTTGCAATTCTTCCCGCACGGGGTTTGTTTGTTCTAATAGTACCCATCAAGCGAAAACTCAATTCCTTACCTTCGTGATTGAACTAATCATCCGCAAGTTTGGGGCGCTGAATTGTCACTAGTCTGGAAATTCGATCTCGTAAAAGTCAGGTAACATAGCAACTAATGCATCATCGACCATATATATCAAAGAGTAGGTAGTCGTAGATTGTGGTATTCGTTATCTATATCATTATCTCATGTTTGAATTAGTCTAGTCTAGTCTCGTGTGTCTACATATGTTCTAATCGTCAAAGAGTCACCTTTTCCACTTTCCAATGCCTAATCGGGGTATACAACTCCTTTATATTGACCAACGCAAAAAACATGCAAATAATTTTTTTCCCCACAACTGCAGGCTCGTTTCAATGTTTCTCCGGCCCCACGACCTTCTCGCCCTCCCCACTCTCCAAATCCCTCTCCCTACCAGCCTCGCGCTGCACGACAATCTCACTCCCGGTCACACTCCCACTCTCCTCCTCCTCCTCCTCCTGCTGTTCTTCTCTAACAATCGATTTCTCGTCCGGTCTCTGTAATCCCTTATCTTTAATCAACACGCAAAGACACAGACAAACCCCAATAATCGGTACCCAAAGTAAGAACACACTTCTACTCGCTCCCATGTACGCATCTAACACTTCATTTTTCTGTCCCGTTGTCAATTCATTCAAATTCGGAACGCTCAATATCGATGCTAAGATTGTGTCTTTGAATCCTGCCGGTAAAGGAGTTGCTAGCGTATTTAAACGGGACTTTATGGAATTCGAGAAAATAGCCGAGGAAATCGCTAGACCAATTGCACCACCCAGAGCACGTAGAAAATTCCTAGTAGAGATAACGACTGCTCGATCGCGCTTGGTACAATGGGCTTGTGCTGCTACAAGGGTAGGTTGAAAGACGAATCCTACTCCTGCACCTTCGGTTAAAAGAATCAAGACCATCTTCCACTTCGGTATCTCCCGAGAGAACAATAGAACGAGGCCTGATCCTAGAGTCCAAAGCATGAACCCAATCCAGATGATCTCGCCATAGCGTTTAGTCCTGGAGATGTATTGCCCGGATACGATACTGAAGCTGGATTGAGCGGCGACAAATGGAATGGTGAGTGCGGCGGACATGAGAGGTGAGTATTGGCGTGCATTCTGATAATAGATTGGTAGGTAGTAGAGGTGCGAATAATAGACTATACCAAAGAGGAAGTTTTGGGTGAGAATGGCGAAGACAGCAGGGTTCTTGAAAAGGTTCAAAGGCATCATCGGCATAACGGCAAACTTCCATTCCACAATGAGAAAAGCAACTAAACAGATGCCACCCAGTGTGAGCATGGAAATTACCATGGGACTGGACCATTCAAAATAAGTACCGCCGCCCGAGACAGGAATCAGAATGAGCATAATGGCTGCGGTCACGAGAACGATTCCTGGGTAATCGATGACTCGAATTTTGGTCGCTGTAGAGCCATGAACTTTACTTGGAGGAAGTGTGAATGCTACCATAATACCTGATAGCACTGCTAGCGGACATATACACCAAAATAGGCCTCTCCACGTCGAATTCTGAACAAAAGCGGCTGCCAAGAATGGTCCAATGGTATTACCCAAACCGATACATGATCCTAAGATCCCTTGATACCTAAAGTACGTTAGTTCATGACCTACGGAATTGAAAATTCCAACATTCTGCATCACGATCCGACAATCATGAATTTTGAATTTTCAATACACCAAAACATTTATAGTCTGAAATACTAATTTCAATCATTATAAGCGCCTCGTTGTCGGACTGCAGTCCAGAGTGTTGGTTAATCTGAATGTAACAGCTAGGATAAACTTACTTTCCACGATTCTCCAGAGTAACCACATCTGATACGATCATCATGGCCAATGCCATGATCCCACCGGTCCCCACACCAGAAATGCCCCTAAAAACATAAAGTTGAGGACCCGTCTGAGCGAACCCACAAAGTAAATCTCCTAGCGCCAATAATCCCACAGCAGTGAGGAATACCACTTTCCTTCCTAAAATGTCTGATATTCTTCCATAAAGAACCTGGAAAACTGTATTGGCAATCAAACTTGAAGTGCCTGCCCAAGAAATTGTAGTTGCAGCATTAAGATCAGCTCCGATTGTTGGTAATGCTATACCAATGGAGTTTTGATCTATAAAAGTGATGAGGAGAGCAAATGCTAATCCACAGAAAACCACTATTAGTTTTCTTTGGGGAAGAATATTTGTTTCAATGCGGACCAATTCATGGCCATTATCTCCTGCCATCGCAGCCAATGAAATATGATAGTTTCAAGGTAATATTATGATGATTATTGGTGAAAGAAAAATATAGGGGAAAGAGAAACGACGCAAAAAAAAATATCGAGATATTAGGCCTCGACTTAAAGAACCATTGAGTTCGCTATCAAGAAAACTTACAGGGGAAGAATTCTAACGGATAATCGGCACTTATCCGCGTTTGTTGTAGATCTGAATCAAGCTTTTAACAAGCGCCCCTTCATCTTGCTGGTCTTTTTTCGTTTAGATACATCCTTTTTTGATGTTTGACAGGCGTCAACGATTTGACATGCTTGATACGAGGGGCGGTGACATACATCTCGGAGGCAAAATCCACGTCTGCTTGCATAATCAAGCTGTATCAAACCCCGAGAGTGACCAAATCGCACGCTTGCTAGGCCAATTTTCAAGATTTTGCGAAAAGCGGTGTTGCGAATCCGATTATCGGATGAAGGATTACCCCCATAGCCTTCATGGTCTGGATTTGTTGATAGGAAAAGACTTGTCGTTGATTTGTGGGGAATGAAATTTTCCTAGCCACAATATAGACAGATATGTGGGGATATCTTTGCGGGACCGAAACTTTGACTTCGATCCTGTTCAAGAGGAATGCCATATGTAATATAAGGTCCAAGAAATTCTTTTGGAGATGGTGTGATAGGACCAATGACACGGAAATACTAACAGGCTAAGAAGATATGAAATAGGACCCTTCGCTCTGCTTTACTTGCCATCACTCTCACAACAATTCAGTGATATAATGGAGATTTGCTGAACTTCATGGACAACATACCGCTCAACAATGTACCCTTGAAACCACAACCTTGAAGTTGCATGCTCAACAGCCGTACAAACAATCCAAGGCCGAATCTGGCAGAAGTTAATTTCCATGACACGGAAGCAAGACCGCGCCTGGTAACATCAACTTTGGAGGGAATAGAAGTGATGGGATCCAACTAGAAGTGATAGTGCGAGATTTAATTCAAAGAGGGGCTCGAAAGGTAGCCCTGATCGTCGAGCTCCAAATGGCACCGTTGCATGTTATTTCCCGGACTGGGACTTGGAACGCGATTTGCTTTGAGCAGAAATGGAGTTGCTCGATGGTTGGTTAGAAGCACATAACATGAATTGCAACCGAAAGAGTATTGTTTAGCACAATCAGAGATCTTGATCCATCTGACGATGCGTCGTCTGGATAAAAATCGGAACACGAAAATGTCTTGTCCTCGTACAGGAATCTCATGATACCAAGATTCACACCACAGCCTTGCATGCCAGCCTCGGCTTTAAGCGAAAAGGCTTGCGTCTTGTCCTCTGCCTACCTAGTACCTTTCCTCGTAACATATCTACTTTCTTGTCTACCCTCATCCTTATAAGTATATTGTCTTATTTCCATCTCAAAATATATTCAAAACATTTGCATTATACGGTGAAGTTTGAAACCCAACTCCAAGATGAATCCCTATGAAGGTAAGCTTCCCAACCCGCTTTGCCCCGCCATCCAGTTCCTTAGATATATTGATGAGCTCCTGTTAACATACAATAGTCGAACATAACATAAAAGCGTCTCCGCAGTCGTCTCGACCTCGTCGCCGTCCTTCTATGTCCTCCTTCTTCAACCAATTATCGCAATGTGAAACCTCGACTTCTACTACTGATCCAAACTGGCATCACAATAATCCGCATGCTGTCCCTACTCCCGTATATTCTTGCCCTCTTCCTCAAATGAAGACCCTACCCTCCAGTCAGTTCGAAAACTTATTCATATAAACAGGTCGACGTAGCAGCCTCATATCGCCTTCTCCAAGACCAATTTCTAACCCTCCGCACCAATGACCCCTCCTCGACCACAGCCCCTCTTCTCGACCTTCTTATCTCCTCCATCACATCTCAAATAGACTCTCCGCCCACCACCATCTCCGGATGTTCTCAAGCCTACCTCGATACCATCGATCGCATTCCTCGTTCCTCCCTAAAGGCGGACGAAACATGTCCGATCTGCGGCGAGAAGTTTCTGGACGACCAATATTGCTTAGTTGTTGTGTTACCATGTCATGAAACTCATAAATTTGATTTGGAATGTGTGGGCCCGTGGTTGAGATTGAATGGGACATGTCCTTTGGATAGGAAGAAGGTTGGAGACGGGGAGGAGAGGGGAAAGGAGGCGGAGAGGGAGAGAGAGGGGATGAGGAGGGGCGTGGAAGGCTTGGGATTTGGGGCTGATGGAGAGGAAAAGAGGAAGGAGGAGGAGGAAAGAAGAAAGAGGGACGAGGACGAAGAAAGCGATGGCGATGATGGGATGTACGCTTAAGGTCCTGTGAAGGCACAGATGGCGAAAGGGAAATGTACGGGTTCATTGCAGGCAAGGATGGATGATAGCACGAGCCGAGGCCGAGAAACTTGCGGAATCTGGAATCAATGCAGATGCGCACTTGGCCCATAGAAGAGCGGCAGCGAGAATCAGGGACTTGTAGGGAGACGTCATCTTCTGTCACGAAGTGGCGAGAGACGGACATCAGAGATCTGGGATACCCTCTTGCAAATAGTAAACAAGCGACGATATAATATTCAATTATATACCATTGTATACTTGCTTGAAGCTCACATATGTTCAAAGTTACATACAATGGTATACTTTGTATATCATTCCGGTTCGAACTCTCTTTCTTCTCATATGCATGTACCATGTGTTGGGCTTAACCGACTAATGAGTGGTCTGATTCAATGAGATAGAGAAGGGGAACCTTAGTTCAATAGCACAACCTATAGTTGAATTCACGGAATGTATATGTCCATACACATCTTCTCAGTATCACGTACAATAGTCTACATTGAACATCATATCAAACAAAAATATCAACATCAGTCCTCGTATCTCACTCCAATCTCCCCCTCGTTGCCAGACTTAAAACTAGAAGAGCATCTCAGATGAAGGTAAAATAAACGATCTATTATGAACTATCCATTCCTATGAATCTCATGCTGAATCAAACGCAAGAGAACAATACGGTCTGTCTTGAATCTTCGCAATCCCCATCTCTACATCCGAAGAATGAAGAAAAAATTTCAATATGTTGAATACGCCACGCCAAAGACTTTGTATGCATGCACGTTCTTCATATCAAATTACACATCCCCGCCCATCACTCTAATATTCTCAAAACTTCACATTTGTGTATATCCACTCTATGCTCCTTGCACCCAACTCCCAATCTTCGAGCTTACAAAGGGTATCTAAGCTTGAACTGGAACGGCACTTTGTTGGGCCAACATGTACTTGTAAGCACCGAAAGCTGCAAGTCCACCAATGAGAATGATAGCGTAGAGACCGACACCCATACCGGCTTCGCCTTGGGTGGAAGATGTATAAGCGGTTGCTGCTTGAGCTTTGGGGGCTGGGTCGCCTGGCTAGAGGGATGTCAGTTTCTGTGATATACCGAGCCGAGGGCTCATGTGATTGAGGGGACTCGGAATTGAAAATCGGGGGGTTATCTGAGAAAGTGAGGGGATATGAGAGTAAGATAATGGCGGAGGCGGAGAAAAGTGGGAGGAAAAGGTGATAGAAATGGGAGGAAACAGGGAAAACATACCATGCGCTTCAAGGTACCAACAAGTAAACCATCAAGGATTTCTCTTGCCTCGTCACTGTGTCCAACATCCTCGAATGCTTCAGTTGCATCTTGTCCGCCAACGTCAAGGAGGACTTCTTCTCCACCACTATAGGAACATGCGAGTTAGCAATCTGGCCTGATGTAATATAGAACTGAGTTTTGCAAAGACAATGGGATAACCAAAGACTGGAAGACCGCAGGCGGATGCGGAGCCAGAGGTGGATGAACTGATTTCGAAAACATAAAATGAGATAACCAGATGTAAACCATAATACCCAACAATATAGCATTCGGTCTCCGATACAGTTCTCCAGTCTCAATTCATCTGCAATGAAGCATAGCATCCCACTGAAATTCCCTCTCCATCCTCTCATATCCGAATCCTCCTGCCCCTCTTCATCCCACCTTCTGCGGAGGATAATTCTCAACAAGACAAATAGTAAACTTACGGATGTTCATCAACAAAAGCCGAAGTGTCGTAAACTTTATCATGGATAACCATAAACAAATCCTTCTTAGTCTTATGTTCTGCTGCCTCAGCATATGTGTATTCCTTTGATTCCGACATCTTTTTCTGTTGTGTGTAAAGTATGAAATCCTTCTATATTGCTTCCTTTTCTGTGTCCTCGAAAGTGTTGTCGTGTTCGTAAATCGTTCCTGATTCAATTCCCTCGTCTGCGAGTAATTCCTGGTAGACTTTTTGTATAAAAAAGGACAAATAAATCTTTTCCGAAATCCGAAGCACAAGAAAATAGGTTAAGGGTAGTACGATGAAATATTGGCAGTTCGCAATTCACAAAAAGTGAGACAACAACTAATTCCATAAATCACAGCACAGGCTCCATTTACTATCTGGACTAATAACTTTAAAGCTCGGAGACCGATTTGACTCTACGCCAACAACCGCTAATCAATATTCGGTTAAGAATTGCTCAGCACGTATTTGCTTATCGCTAATTGGTTGATTAAAAGGTACTCCGCGGGATGAGGGGTGCTTTGAGTTGATTACGACTTTGTCAGCCGTTACGGTGCGAGAGAACGGTAGATGAAGGATCGAAGTAGACATGATTGGTGATTACCAGGTAAGTGAGAATGAGAGTGACACGATGGAAGGGGTGAGATTTGTGAGATTTGGGGCAGTGGATTATTCTGGAAAGTATATTTGGAAAGGAAGAGGACAACTCCCGAGTTTCCGTGGAGATCCTTGGGCACAGAGTGGATGAGTGTAAACTTGATATTTAATTCTTTCCCTTGTCGCCCGAGTAACATCTATGGACGGTTTTCTTGATATCCGATCCGCGAATCCTCATGTTGAAGGTTTGTGAAAAGAAGAGAAGAGAAGAGAGGAGAAGAGAAGAGTGGGCGATGAACACGTAAAGTATCGAAAAGACCTCGAGAGACCATGGTCCCAAATTCCACTCCACATGACCGTAATCCACTCTACAATTTCATATCCCAATTCAGAAAACTTTCCATTCAACTTGTCATCGCATTCTCCTTTGCTAACAATCAGATCATATCAATCTCCACCTCGCCTGCCTTATTATCTCCTCCCAACTCATATCTCACATCTATCTTCTAGAACTTCCACCCCCAATATCCTGTCCTAATCTATAACCTGCAATCTTATCCCATTCAATCTTTTGTCTGGTAATGGGCAATTGTCTTCTTAATCCTTTGAATGCTCCTTCGCTCAAATTATTGAATCCTTTGTTGATCTCTTCCTGATATTTCTTTTCAGCGCCGGCAATTTCTCGTACAATGCTGCTAGCCGACGATAATGCTGTTGCTGAGATAGGCTTGGTAGTAAGAAGTCGAACATTTCCATCTTCGTAGTAGTGAACATCGACCTTGATGCTGCCAGTGAGAGAGGAGTTTAAGGTTTCATATATATACAACGAGCGCCAGCGACCGTTCCTACCCGATGTTAAATACCAATATGTTTATAAGAATGACGTATCTAGAGACTCACCAGAAGTTGTTTGGGCTGTATTTATTAGCAACAACAAGTATTGCGATCTTCGAATCGTTTTCAATGGGAAAAGCGCCGTATGATGCATTTGGAAAATGCTCTGCTACATGCGGACCCAAGCTCTTGAGGATCGACTTACTACCTTGTGTCAGAACATAAACTGTGTACCGCTAGGGGTACTTACACAAGATCTGCTTGACTGCCCTCTAGGACATAACTTTGCACCGCACTCGCTTTCTTTATTCCATTATCGGTCTGTATCTCGCACACGAAGGAGTCGATAGAACACATACCTGCGTAGTGTGATCGAAAACAAAACTAGATGAACTCTCGACATCGTAGTATCTTCCATCCCCCAGAGAATTATAGGAACTGATTATAACCTTCATGAAACCGTCAGTCCTCCTTCACGGTGCTCTGATTTGATCTGCCATCGAGAAACTAACATTTTGACTGCTTCCGGGAAGTTTGACTGTAGCAAATTGTTCCTCGTTATATCTCTCGAATGCAGGACCGAGTTCCGAGACAAGATTCGGTGTGTCGATGGTCAAAGCCTTGATATCTGTAGATGTCCCGTACTTAGTTTACTGATGGGCAATGTGCGAAGAAGAAAGGTATGCGTGAAAGTTCGTACCAGCTATGACATCTGCGAGCTTTCCAAGAATGTTAGTTGTTGAAGAGCTTGGGTTCGTACAAAGGATAGATCATACCTCTCCTGGTGGAGCTCCTTCCACAAAGGCAGAGATGGTTTCTATTTGTGAGGACATTCTCAAAGAATCTGATGGATGAAAATAACGATTAACGCCAAGTATCTCAAGTAGATATAAATCCGTATCAAATAATCGTCCTTGCTGGCTCGAATGGATGCGCTGGGGTTTTGAAACATAAAGTTGAATCAATTGGGCAAGCACGCGAGGCTGAAGCTCAACCCCTCAAGCCCCTCAATTCGTGGCGGTGTGTTGGCTCGTGCAACAAGGGAACAACTTCACATTTTCTTCTGGTTCTTTCATTTCTATACCTCGCTCTGCCTTCATTCCAATCATGTTGACAAGTGTTTCTTCTAATGGCCAGGATGAAGGAATCTTCATCAATGGGGAAGAATTACCGAGTTCGTGTTGCACTCTCTTCTCTTGAGAGCATTCAATTCCTAATAATCACCAATGGAAGTTTGCACCAACATCGATATATTGATGACGTTACTAGGTATCACGTTACTAGGTGTCTTCATCAAATCTGCGAAGGCCGCTGAGACGAGTCTTCAGTAGTCCAAAGCTTCAAAATTCTCTTAAAGTCATCTACGAACCTAGTTTTTGTTTCTAGATTCATCAGCTTGTACAAGCTGGGTATGGCTACTGGATAAAGTTTACTCTTAATCACCATGCGCTGAATTTAGATATGGCCACATTTCTGTTTTATCCCTCCCAATTTTGTTCTACTACATACTGTCGCGTAATCGAGTTGTAATATACCAATCCCAAGACGATACTGTTGCAGATCCTGATTTTTCTTTTTAAAAAAAAAAAGTAAGCTTGTGCTGGCAAGAATTATTCTTCGCTCAGTGTCGCTAAAAGTTACAACTTTATCTCCATGGATATCTTTTCTCCAAAATATCCGTTACTAGACGTAACGAATGCATACTTTAGAGGGCTGAAGAATGTTTAATACTGAGTTTGTTCCAGTCGATCACAATCCGTGAAGAACTTGCCGCCCCCTCTCAAATATGAATATTTGTGATAAATGTTTTCATATGCATACTTGCTGTTCTGGCTACTGACAGCACCAACGTCACTTGCCTTTGAGACTGTAACTGAAAAAATGATAATTTCAAGTCACAAGAATTTGTCGAGCAGCAATGAAGGTGCTTATATAGTGCCGCTCCCACTCATATAATATACGTATGATCATATGAAAATGAGACCTGACATCAGGATCGTCTACCCCGGCAAAGAGTATCGAGAGCGAGATGTTGTTTCTTCCGAGTTTCAACCAGGTAAGTGAAGAGAAATCACTGCATCACAGAGGTTTCCATTGATTCAATCGATGTCAATGAAGGTTTTGCAGTCCCATCATCTGCCCCACGCATAAAGCTCAAAAATCTTCCGGGCTGGAGAAGTACAAAACCTTTCACGAATTCCGGTTCGAAATTGAAACAATCATAGTTAGAAACAGTGTTAAGATAAGTCCTTACTTCTAGTCATGAGATTATTAAGTCTACATCACATCCAGTAGCTGTGAATCGTGCATCATCTCCAAAGCTTTCGGTCATCGATTATCAAAAATGGCAACTTATGTACCGTTGTTGGGTATCGACTTGGTTGGTAAGTGTAAAGTACTTTAGCCTATTATGGTTGTATTCGTTCTTGATCATTATTATCTATGGGGAGCTAGTACTAAATATAGGGAAGCGCTAGCGCCACGCTAGCTAATACAGTGCCCTCTCTGATCACATGATCGATATCCCGACAACCGTATATAGGCATTGATATACTAGGTAGTTCATGATTCCAACGGAGACATTGCGTTATTTTGGTGACCTGTGGGTCATTCGAATGTAGTGTCATCTTGGTGCAGATCAATTGTTTAACTGATTTGGCTTGTGTCAACTGTCAAGTAGCTTAGCAAGACCCGCTTTTATTTAGCCAAACGAACTAGGTATATGATGCGTTGTGATTCTCCTCAAGCATTCATTGTATTCTAACTCTTCTGCTTTTCACTCAATTCCATTGTATACACACCTTCAATTTACCAATCCAAGGGAATTCATCTGCATTTGAGCAGCAGATTTGGCAGCCGTAGCCCACTACGCGATCTTGTCGACTAGCAACTTAACGTCCTTTTAAGACTCTCCTAAATCCAACTACTTGAACAATCAACTGCATGAGCTTTAGAAACTAGTCCACAGATTACAATTGATTACTAGAATCATGGCGGCGGTAACTACAGCGGCTCCTCAGGAAATCTGCACGGTCTGTGGCGATGTCTCCAGCAATGCCATTCAAGTCCCATGCGGTCACTACTATTGTCTCACTTGTCTCGGACAATTCTTCGAATTGGCATTAACGGATCAATCAATTTTCCCTCCACGGTGCTGCAACAGAGCGATCCCTATTGTCAGTGTCAGCTCCTCTCTCAAACCTATCGTTGTGCAAACATTCGAGAAAAAGAAGATCGAGTTCGAAACGCGGTATAAGGTCTATTGCTCGTCCAAGCGTTGTTCAACTTTTATTCCTCCCTCAAATGTCGTCAAGGATATAGGTACATGTCCCAAGTGCAATGTCAAAACACATACGTTGTGTAAGTCGAAGGTACATGCTGGGAAATGTCGGAAGGATGAGTCAATAGAAGAGATTCTTGATCTTGCGAGAGAAAACTATTGGCAAAGATGTTACAGGTGCTGGGCCTTGGTAGATTTAACTGATGGCTGTTCTTTCATGACGTATGTCCCCATTCCTGGCTTTGTGTATTATAATCAATCACTAATACTGCAGAAATTAGGTGCCGCTGTGGAGCTTATTTTTGCTACTACTGTGGAAAGAGATTGAGATTATGGAGCAGACATTCTTGTGATCACAGTAAACGTCAGCTCCTCGCTCATCCTGAGAAGAGGTCTAGGTCATGGTCGCGTTTATTTACACGGATTTTCCGTTCAAGTGAATCTTGAACTTGGGATATGGGATCTTAGTCGGGGGGTTGGGGTTATATCTACGAATATCGCGCATACGATGTCCCATCATGCATGCATGCAATACTAGATGTTCGACTCAATGTATGGGGATATGGCACAGCTTCATTGGAAGGTCAATAATTTTTAATACTAGCTCTTCTATCTCATGATGGGGCTACTAATGACATGAAATTTGATGCTTGGATTTGGGAGCGGGCGCATGTGCATACATCTATCATTTGCATCACTAAAAGGGATTATGGAGTCGGTGGAAATTTGGGCGGATGTACGTAATTAGTTGAGAGATTCGCTGATCAAAATCAAATCACGGTTCAGATCGGTTCATTTAATCTCGTGATAGGCTACTGAATACGTGAAGATATAACCAAAGATCATCTTTTTTGTGACATGACGTTGAAACCCATCAATTTTGAGCTAGCAATAATTTTGGTTTTGCATCATAGTCACCGCTGGAACTATTCTCTGTGCATAATTCTGTCCATAGCACGACGCTGAATAGGGTAAGGGAATTCAATTGTGACTTCCTCTCCCAATCAATAAGAAATAGCACAACTGCAATTATTATATACTAATCCACATATCCGCTACGCCGTTTTTCTGATCGATAACATCCCTTCGTTCCCCGGAAATGAAATTCCTATCGCAAACCAAAAGAACCACCTCACATCCACCCAGCCAACAGACCGTGTGGCAGTGAATCTACCCCTAATAATACTTACTACCTAGCCTCTCCCTAATTGCCCATTCCGCCGCCTCCAATCGCTTGATTGATTCGTCAAATTTCCCTAACAATGACTCCAGACGTCTTTTACCAAATGCACACTTTTTCTTCGTGTCCCCCTTCTTCAAAGTTTCAATCGCATGCCAGAACACCTTATAGATTCCATCCGCTTGCCCCAAGAGACTGATCGCCTTTTTAGCTACCTCCTCGAGCTCATACACTGGTGCGGTTTTAAATCTTTTAGGCGCCGAATCCTTCGCCGGCCAACTATCCTTCACTTCTTTGACTAATCCCGGCAGTCCGCCGGTCCTATCTCCCCGGCAGGAGGTAAGTTTATATCTCAGCTCCGGTATTCTTTTGTTTCGCCAGACGTCAATGTAGTTTTCCATTTCAATCGTAACATTCATCCAATTGCTTTCCGTAAAATGCACTCTTGATTCCCAGGGATCGCGCAACAAAATTCTTTTCGCCCATTGTTTCCCAAATCCAATCAACCAATCTCTATTTGCTCCCCCCAATCTCTCATATTCCGCCTGAAATATCGCACGCGAAGCTTGCAGCTCTTCCTTGACGCTCGTTACCGCTTTGTCCCTACTATTCTCAAATGACTTCCAATGGTAATCTATCCCATTTAATTCAGACAACAAGTTGCTCACCGCTCGCGTATGAAGTCTTGAATTGCGACTTGACTCCGCATATAAATCATGATATGCTCTTAAATCAGCGCCCGCACCTCGAAACTCAACGGGGATACTTTCGAACAAATATCCATTGTCAATCGTTTCTGAGAATAGGCCAGCGACACCAATCGTATTGGATAGGAGATTGAAATTTCTTTGCTCATTTTCTATGTTGGAAGATGTTACCAGAATGAAAAGAAGCGTATACGCAATTAATACATAACCGAGTTGATCACCATCGGTTTGATACCATAGTTTGACCTTAATCCAAAACTCCAGAACCAAAGCCCCAGTCTCCGAAGCCCAGAAATCTTCGAGCCAAGAATTGGAAGAACTTCGAGAGACTGGGAAATCAAAGGGCTTTCGCTTGATTCGCTCAGAGGCTTCCTTATAGGGTGATGTTGGGGCAGATGCTGTTTTTCTCAATGCGGCAGCTTTATTGGCTATATAGGAGGCTTTCCGGGCCGAGTAGTCAAGGAAATCGCGATCGAGACCAGATGCTGATGCTTGAGCTGCCATGCTGAATGCTTTGCTTGGCAAGTGAGGAGTGTGCTCAAATATCTGCGGATTCCTGAGATATTACGCTTCTTTGTGGGTATGTCGCTTGATCGGACGATTTTGCAGGCTTCAGTGTCGTGGAACTGATTTATGATGCTAGATCAATTGGTGCAATTTGATTGATATTACTCAGACCATTTGAGATCTGAAGCAGTTCGAGTATTGAATCTTCAAGTAGGTAGAAGGTATTCCACTTGATATAAATGGATTAAGATTGAGAATGCGCTAAGCAACTGTCATAAATGAAAGGAAACGACAAAGGCAAAACAAAGAATTTCACTCTATGATCTGCTTCCAGATCACATTTTCAAGGCCTTTCAAAGAATTTTAACTACGAAGAACAAAGAAAACATTGACAGGTAGGTAACCAGAGTGAAATGGAATCATCATCATAGCGGGTGAGCTTTAGCTGTACTGATTGAGTGGCATACTAGCTATTGTTAGCTCGATTGGGGGTGTAGAGGGTATTCAAAATTTGAAATGGCCAGCAAACGGGCCATTAGATGGAAGAATAGCTCGCATGTCGAACGTAGGTACCCTAACGTCGTGAAAGTTCTGAATATCTCAATTTGATTTGGGAATTGAACTTTGTTAAATTAAGTTCAGGTGTCGAAAATACATCACATCTCCAACTCAAAGTACTTCTAATAAGTATTTTGCAGCAATTTTCAATTTCCCAACACAAATTTTGACACTCGAATACTTGAAAATTCGTTTTGTTCGCCTCATTTCCATTCATCGTTTGAAGAAAAGGATACGTCAAATATCTAATGCCCAGACATTCCATCGATACCACTTGGAATCAAAGGCTAGGATTTCTACTTAAAACCAAATTAATGATATTGCCAGACTCGTAGCAAATATAACATACATACACCCGTAAAGAAAATGGAATGTCCTCCTCTTCTACAACAACTGTATCAAACCAGTCGTTTAGACTCAACATGGATGTGAAAATTAAAAGAATTTTGCTAATCGCTCACGATAGCCAAGGCGACTGAGTCGCTCGCTGTGAATTAAGTATCTACACGCCAGAATAATCCAAATTGATCAAACAGCCGAACAACCCGTTCCAGATGGTTTATGGCATCTTGAAAATCGAGAAATGCATTTCCCTCAACTAACAACCAACGGAGAGCGCTCATCTCCAGTTCCCCCCTCCCCGATAAAGTAACTAAAAGTCTGGTCTAATGTCCTCCTTATCCGTCTCATCTCCATCTTCTTCAAACTTTTCATCCTCTTTCTCATTATGAACTTCGCTATTCTCATCATGAACCTCGTCTTCTCCAGGTTTAGTTGGCGACGTAAAATTTGAGGTATAAATTGGCTTTAAGACAAAATCAAGACCACTTATAACTCGCTTGAACCTCTTTTTGCTATTCTGCTTGGGATCTCCATCCTCAATCTGTTGGTCATCAACTGATGGAGTGACTTGCTTGCCATTTTTATCAAACAGATATGACGGGACTGTTGGAGATTCTGATCCCTGGAGGCCATCTAGTGGAAAATTATTAGAATTGACGTTCATAATATTATACAGATTCAGAGCTAATCATCGTGTGTTGCATTAATATCACGAGATGCATCTTACCTAATGAATTCGTAGGCCCGTCACCCATGTGCCAAGCATAGCGGATTATGTGCTTTTTCTCAACATGCCTTTTCCACTTGTCTTCGTTTTCAAACTCTCGTGGTTTCCTAATTGCCGGTTCTGATGCCAAAGAATGTCCACTTTCAGTATTTCCTGCAGCAGTGGTGCACCCCTTCCATAAGCATCGAAACTTGTCGTTCTCCCTCTTACCGTGAACTTTAAAGAGGTGCATCTTCAACGTAGCCAAGTTGTGTAATTCAGCAGGACAATTATCCCACTCACAGTCATAAACAAGGAAGTTTGGATTCGGGGGTTCAAGATCTACTTCAGGGGAAGGTTGCTTTGGTGGGCGACCTCGTTTCTTTGGTGGATTGTCATCTGATTGGGGATTTTGATTTTTGAGGGATTTGAGCTTTTGGTCTTTTGCCGTGAATGAGTCCGAGTCATTGCTGCCGATTAATGCCGTGTGATCTTTAGGTGGTCTGCCTCGTCGTTTTGGTATAGTCGACTTTTGAGGTTTTTGATATGAAGGGTCGGAAAGATTCTTGGGTGGACGTCCCCGCCGAGGTGCGGTTGGGGATCTGATCACCACCTGGGCCAAATTTCCAGCAATAGCTTGTGACGGTAAATTTCCTGCTAGCTGTTCAGAATTTGTCCGAGTGGAATGGTCCATATTTGGTGGCCCTGGAGTAAATGGCCGATATTCTGATGGGCTCTGATTTTGGAGATGCCCCGGGTGTTGTGGCGCAGGGCTTCTGTTATCGTTGATCATGTAATATGGGACTTGATTTTGATTGTAGGGGTAGTTATGAAAATAAGGAGGCGGTGGTGGTGGTTGATTTTGATACGCTTGCACGTGTTGTCGGTTCTGCTCGAATTGCTGCTGCCGGAGATTTCGCTGTTGAGGGTTTTGCACGTGCATTTGTGGTTGGGTTTGATGATAATGGCGCTGCTCTGAATCTTCTCCAGCCATCCAATATTGATAAGGGGCTCTATTTAAGGATGAACCATTTGTCGGTAGCATTGTTGTCGATTTCTGAAATTTTCTGGTCGTATTTATATTGCTAGGAGTGAATCTTGAAGTGTTGCTTGTGCGACCAGTGCTTACGTAATCACACAACCACCGAAAAGAATGAAGGACAAAATGGGTTGTTGTGAAAAGACACAACTATCTTGTCCTAGACACTGGCAGATTCAAAGTTTTGGATCGTTCTTTCTGCTGATATGGCAGATAAACAAATCTTTCCTTGTCCTTGATCGGATTTTGTTGCTCTTGAGTTATCTTTCTCTAACCCCCTGATGCTTCTGGTTTGGAAGAAGCAATTAAGACTCAAAGCTGCAAAAACTAGATTCTCGAGATGCTTCTCACGCAAAGCTGATATCTGAAAATCTCAGTGTTCGTTTTCTTAGTGGAATATATACAATTTGCTCATTGGGGCGTGAGAATACACGCATGGTTTTAGAGCTCTTATGTCTGGCAGTGGGGATTTGAAGAGTAATTGCGAAACGCACACAGACCAAACATTCTTTGAATCTAATATCTGAAGATCTAGAGTAATCACAGATACACATCAATAGGTGCCTACACAGTAGCTAATTACTATCATTATTCTATTACAAAAATCTCCTAATTGAAAGAGCCGGAGTTTTCAGCACCCAAGCGTGCCCTCGAATTTGAAGGCGAGTAATACTTGAAGCAGATGATGTTCTGGCTTGCGACGGTCCGCCACTTGTCAATATTCAGGCAGTCCATGACCCTCTGGACTGACTTTTTACATTGCCAGGGTCCTCATCATCATTGTTAGAGACTTCTGGATCAATCTCAACAACTTCAGCCTTCCTAGCTCTGGGTTTTGCCACCTTTCTAGGAGGCATTCAAATGTTCCTTCTGGACAAGTCTTCGATGATAGATACTAGAAATTGTTAGTATAAGTTCATTTTTTGATTTCGTCTGATAGTTTTGACCAAACTTACATGTGGTGGGGTATTCCGACGAACGCAAGCCAGTCTCCGCTGAGTTGGGTGGATCTAAAGACAGAAGCTTTCCTTCAATGACCCCCTTGTATATATTGGTGATTCGGGCACACTTTACTACTCAATTAGTTTTGATTTATATGTTCGATTAGAAAACTCACTCTTGGCTTTGATACCTTGACAGGAACCTCAACTAGCATCCCTAGCAGCACCAATGTACAAATTAACCGCAAGAATTGATTTAATCTGAATCATACAAAGAAGAAGAGAAAGTCGAGAAGAAAGGCTCTGCCAAGAATTGAAGATATACTATCAGATATCGCATGTGAACAGATAACCAACTGGAAATCTTCATTCTTTTGGATATCCGATAGAACTTCTTCAATTCTTGGCATAGCCTTTCTCCCCAGCTTTCTCTTCTTCTTAGTATGGTTCAGATCAAGACAGGTTGCCAAGCTCAGATGTCAACGACCGATAGCGGCGGATCTTGATTCAAATCAAGAGATGTCTGCATTGTTCCGTGTCAATGACCAATATCTTCCGAAAATGTATAACGCTTCAGAGTATTGCCCATACCTCAAAGCCAGCTGTTAAAGGGTACCATATTGGTAGGTAGATTGAGTAATGGGAGGATAAGCCGACAGATAGGCCAAGTTCTCAGCTCTTGAACTGGTTACTAATCCTGCAGACTATGTCAGCTACCACGAACAACCAATACGAGAGAAAGAATAAATACCTCAGAAGAGCTTGTTGATGGTGCTGATGCACGATACTCGACGGCCGCAGCTCTTGTTGAAGGTGGTGCGAAGGTGAGGGGCCGAGACCCCTACAGCCTTCAGCAACGCACCTGGCACCGTCTTGGGATATGTTATCCTTTTGACTCGTTCGGCACCTCACGAGAAATCAAAGTCCTCTTGTAATCGAAGAAGGCTTTGACTTTTGTTTGTGTTGATATAGTTGATCTGCGATGCGACATGTTAGCATTGTTGTAACCTTAAACGTCTATTGCATAAGGAGTCGGTCTTTGATCATTACTTCTCTTGAAAGGGATTGAGCCTTATCAATATGGAAGAAAATCAATGGACCAGAGATGAGAAGACAACAACGATCAAGGATTTGGACAGTTGAAGAGGTAAGTTGTTCATAGAGTAGTTCTCTTTCATCCATATCATCGGTGTGCTGTTGTGGATGGTTGGTTGCATTTTGATATGCAACTTGTAAGGCACTCAATCTATGAAAGTTGTTGCGACATTCCTAGAGACTTTCGAGGAGATAGTAAGAGATTATCAACTTACCAGAACAAAATTGACACCTTGCAGGATAAATGCAGTTGTTAATGTGCAACGAAAAAAGTTGAAGTTGGAAGAATAAGTTTTGGTAGCAACAAGCAACTGGAACTTGCAAGAAGTTATATTCGAGGAAAATATCAAGATTGTGTGAGAAAAATCCAAGAGGGCAGACAAAGACTCGGCTATTCTGCCCAAAGAAATCTTTTTAACTGTTTATGGTCAATGAAAGTCGGGCAGCTCGGCCCGACTTTGTGCAATATTGGTATTAAAGTGAAGGTTCAAGTTTGCTAGACCTCTTGTCTTCACTTCATCAAACATTGATCTCTTACTGGATCAAACGAATCTGGAATAAACTACACTATTTTTAACACTCAATCCCGTGAACCATCCGTGTATGTGTTTATTTAGGTCCTTTCTTTTGCAAACAATACTACATTGCTTAGGTATCTGTCTATATTATACATTCAAAGGCTCTCAAATTTCGAATATGGTGATTTTTATTTTATCTTGAACTTTTTGACCAGTTAAATAATGATCCAGAATACTTCGCGTTTTCAAGAGGCCTTGAAAGAATCCAGCTAAACATCAATGCTACTCCGAGCCATGGGTAATGGGGGCACTCATGGAACATCAAGAGTTACAGGCTCTTTCATTCCAATGAACAGTCCAGAGCTTACTATTTTCAAAATGGAAAAGTAAATATCTACTGTGGGTTTTGATCTCTTGATTCTACATCTTTAATGTGCCTAAAGTTTTGTGCCTTGCAAATAAAAGAAGGTCCCAAATTTCTCTACGAGACTTGTTGAAGCATTATATATATATGAGTCTCCAGTTGGAGAAAAGAGCTGCTACGAGCCGGTTGTGAAGTTTTTCATCTCCGCCTGCAACAAACATTCAAAAAGTTTCAAATACCAAACTCGAGTTACTCGAGAGGACGATCCCACAAAGATGATTGTAGCATACGTATATTGATTGTCTCTTCCAAAGAGCACAATTCGCTGAGTGATTGTTTCTGGAAGAAGCTCGCAACCATTTGTCTTGATTATTTGACTGTTCATGAGAGGGAACTCTACAGAACTTTTCAATTCCATGGGAGAACCCTTAAGCTCGTCAGACCACTGCGTTCTCTCCTATATGGCTATGATTCTGAGAGTTGACCGGAATTATTTCGCAACATGTGAAGCTTCTATGAAGGTGGAGTTATGAATCTGGACAAGTCAAGACTCGGAATGTCTCTGCAGTGGATCCCTGGAGAAGATGGGGACATTGGGGTAGAATCTAGAATCGCTGAATAAGGCTTGCCGTCTTCTTCTTCCAAGAACTCCTCGGCCCATCATTGTACTTCAGATATGACATTGCAAGCATCCATGGAGAGGTATGTTACCAAAGGAGGAGATTCGCATTGAGATGATCTGAATTTCGAGATAAAGTACGCTAGCCGGAGTGGCTTTGTGACCTCACCAAAGTCATTTAGACTATAGTAGCCAGAGATGATAGATACCAGTGATTTTGGAAGAAGAAGAAAATTCCAGGGTGGTGAGCTTATCCTTTAAAAGTGGTAGGTAATTGGGTTACAAAGCCAAAATATTGCCATATAGCCAGTCTTTTCCTTAGTACCATGGCTTTAGAGAACTTCAAAGCTACTTTATTTGAGTATATCTTCTCCCCTGATATAAAGAGTACTTGATACACCTTTGCGGTTCTCATCAAGCGTGATGTTCGATGCAATCCACCAATTAGCATATCTAGAGGTCTCAACCTTAACCTTGGCCTATTGTGCTATGCCCATTCCATAGTACACTGCTTTTAATAATGCGGTGCGGAGATTGTACTAACATTCAAATCTCGTCATATCACACTTGCTCTATAGTAAGAACATTTCTTTAAGCTCTGAAAGAGGCTGATAAAATCTCCATCTCCGCATCTTACGCCACATGTTGCAACCCTTAGAGCAGGAGACACCGGAAACACTTATTTAATAGTTTGAGGGACTACATATTACCTTAGCACTTGAGCTGTCAAGTCTGCCAAATGGCAAAGTGCTACGTGATTAGGAACCCATCACGATGTCACAAAAAAATACAACAAACTGTCGTTGCAAGAATATCCACTTGAGTTTGATGGAATTTTTCGACTATTTAGCCGCTTAACTTTATTGGCATATGCATCGTCTATTATGCGGAATCATTGTGTTCTTCTATGCGCAGATCCCACATAAGTCAATTCTCTCTTTTGGATGGATCTCTCGTTTTTGAACAGTCAGTATGTATTAGATTGCTCTCAAGGGAGGACTTCTGCACTTCAATCAATCTTTCTCTCTGAGTAGCATCGAAATCTCGAAAATAACAGATTGAGGGTTTGCTTTTAATTGGAAGCATCTTTCCGGATGTGTTTTCGCCATTGGGCCATGTTTCTAACTGGACAAATTGTTGTTGTGGACGAATTGCAACGAGATGTACTTTGGTCCTACAAGTAGGCAAGGAGTACATCTGACTCTGCCCCCTTGAACCACATTTTGTTTCGCGAGCTTTCATCGTTTAGCTTCACTGTATCGCCTCGTTGATGAAAGGTATGTGATCAGAATCCCACAATGCATGTAGCAAAATTAGTCGAATAATTGAATATTTCAATCAAATTGTTTGTACATGATGATATACAATTTCCATTGCGAAAGATGGGAAATCCCCTATTCGTAGGGGGAAAAACGGACCTAAATTGACCACTAGCGAAATCCTTCAATAGACCAATTGTTCAAGTTCAATCGAGAGAATTAGGAATTCAAATAATGTTATAGCTAGACAATATCTAAGGATTTGTTTTAATGCTATTCATTCTTACCAAGTTATTTGTAATTGGTTTATTATTGACGTTATACTCGTAGAATTTGTTAGAGTAATCTACGTATGTTGGCCTCCTTTTTCTCCTACGTATATACCCCTCAACCCCCACCTCTAAGCTAGTCCAACAGCGTCCTAGGCAAAAATCGTGCATTCCTTCGGCCAACCACCAAGCATGGATTGGGCTGTCTTTCAACCGTCTCAGCCCCTAAAATAAACCCGAGAAATAAACCCGAGAAATCAGACCACCTTCAAACAGCTCACTTAAAACGTCGTATCACATCAAATAATCACCCACGTACTCTGTATTACTTTGTAGATGAAATGAAAGACTCCCTGGGGAAAGAATATAACAGGATGATTGTGGCGTCACAATATCTATCGCGACCGGCCTAATTACAGAGATTCCAAGACGAAAGACCCTCGTGGACGATGGCGTGGAATCATCAGAAATCTTACTTTCGATAATCCTGTTCCCGGAGACCGTAGGTACCGTGTAGCTCTCGGATCAAAGGTAAATTCTACTAGGTAATTACCTACGATAGGTTCGTAGGGCGAGAGACATTCATTTACTCGTCACCAAATCAATACCTAGATCCATGGATAGCTACTAGGTATGTAACCCCGCATCCTGATTGATGTGACACGCGTAGCTGGAAGCTAGAGAATAACCTTACGTGGTGGATTGTCCAAACACCTTTCCCCGCATTCATGCGGAGACGACCTCAAACCTTGTTCTGACCGAGAACGGAAAGCTTCCATAGCATACCTACATAGCATACCTACATAGCATATTCCAAAATCACGGTATTGGTAGCTCCCATACGACACGTTTGGCAGGGATTTCTATGATCAATGACATAGGTTAGTGGCTCATCCACAAAGTGACACAAAGTGAATTGAGTAGCAAAACCACGCCATTTCTGATCCTCCCGAGCAAATTCTTGTATATTTCCCCTCTCTGGCGGGAGGAGGGGCAATGCACAATGCGTCTATTCTGTGGATAACGATACCTAGGTAGGTAGTCCTTAGCCCCTCGCCGGTGTTTTTCCACACGTCCGCCGCCATGAATCCCGGCCTCTAGGGTATCGCCGTTTCCAACAAGAACAGGTACCTCGATGATCTGGCCAATTAGCAGGTGGGTTACACCTAGGTATGCTGATTAGTTCCTTCCATGAATCCGAGCTGTAAACTCAATTTTAGAATGATCCAATAGCATGAAGTGAACGAACAAAGAAACGCAAGCTTCCAAATGCGCGACTGTAGATCAGGACTAGACATCCGAGACATTATACCTTCGTAGGAGTGGGGTTATCTTTGTTGGAGGGGCTAGAGCTTGGATAACTACCATCGTATGATTGTTTGCATTACTATATATTCACTGATTCCCAAGCATCTAAAAGAAGATTCTTTATTTGGTATTCAATTATTGCCATACCATCAGTATATCATTCAACAATTACACCTACATATCTTACCTATCCAGAACAATCTCAACAAACTCTCAGTAAAAACACCTACATCATCCCAAATATCAAAAATGGAGAATCTTCCCAAGGAACAATGGGCGCAAGTAGTCGAAGAAACTGGCAAACGTATGTTTATTCCTTCCTTTATCATCACTGTCTCACCCCCCTTATCCGCATTCCTCTTTTCCGACCTCAAAACTAACCTACAACTCTAGCCGTCGTCTACAAGAAAATCCCCGTCCAGAAGCCCGGTCCTGACGAAGTCCTCGTAAACATAAAATTTTCCGGTGTCTGTCACACTGATTTACACGCTGTAAATGGTGATTGGCCATTAGACAGAAAGCTTCCACTCGTGGGAGGACATGAGGGAGCTGGTATTGT